TTAGGGCCTCCTCTGGTGGCGCAGCAGTTGAGCACTGGGCTGCAAAGCTGCCTGCAGCCTCTGCAGCGCCAGTTCGATCCCCAGCTGCCGATGAGGGTCCCACATGGCGCGCAGACCTCTCCTGCCGCGCCCACTGCTCCCCTCAGCAGTGTACTTCAGTCCTTCTGCCTGTTCTGCTCCCCGCTCTGGCTCTGGTGAATTCTCTCACCCTCCCGCGCTTCTGACTGTACCCAGTGCTTGTATAAATAAATAAATAAAACTTTTAAAAAAAATTTTTTTAAAAAAAGGAATTAAACTTTATTGGCTGAGAAGCAAGGAGTGTGGACATGCTAAAATCTATCTGTTTGTCCTTATATGATAAATTATTGTTGCTAATAGTGGGCACCAATCATCAGCCAATTGCCGTGTGGGCTCATGAACATCCTGTGGGGGTTTTACACATGCGTGTGCACCTGTACCTCCAGTTTGAACAGGTCTGGTCTCAGGCTCTGTAACTCCCTTTTTCAGCTGCAGCAGCCAACTTGATACACTGTAAAGAGAGAGGTCAGGGATGTACGGGCTGGGGCAGAGGCGGGGAATTAAGAATAAAAACAGTGGGGCAAGGAAATTGACGGGAGCAGGTGTCCAAGCCTGAAGACATCATGTTTGTTTAACATTTTTGTTTAACCAAGTTAAACCATGAGAACAAAGTTCTGTCTCTGTCCTGGGACCGTTCCTATCTCAATAGAACCACCCAGGGCAGTAGGTGTCCTAGACCATGTCTTTCCAGGTGCCTTTGCTCTGAACAATATGAACCCTTCCTCTGAGATCAAAGAAGGAACTTATGGATCTGTATCCATATGTCTGCTCAGGACAAGAAGACACAGAAGAAAAACAGAAAGGTGCTGGGCCATAAAAAAGAGAGGAATGTTTTGTTCCTCCTCAAATTCTCTTGTTCCTCATTCCCCGAGTTGTGGGTACCTTGGAACTAGGTCAACAACAGAGCAGTATAGACATGTGTGAATGTAAACACACATCAGAAGAACTGACTCCGTGTAGGCCAACACCGGAGAGCATATCAACTCCCTAATGTATCAGAAGAAGTGTTTGAGACAACCCAGTCCTTCATAGTGCTGTCATTAACAGAAATTTTTTTAAAAAAAGATTTATTTTATTTATTTATGCATTCAAGAACTCGGGTACAGGCCAGAGGTGCAGGTCATAAGAGGATTCACCAGAGACAGAGCAGGGAGCAAAACAGGCAGATCTACTGAATACACTGCTGAGGGGAGCAGCATGCAAGACAGGAGAGGTCTGCTGTGCCATGTGGATCAGCTCCCCAGCTGGGGATCGAACTTGTGCTGCAATGGCTGGCAATAGCTTGATAACGCTGAGATTTCAACACCTGCACAACCAGAGAGACCTCTAACATAAATGTTTATTGAACACATGCAATTAGCTTTGTGAGTCCAGATTCCTCTCTTCAGCTAGAGTGCTTTGTGTCTATGTCTGTGGCCATTTGCACATGGAACACAAATGCTGAGTAACTGCTAAGTTGTTTGTTTCCATAGAAAGGCCTTTCTTATCCAGCCCTGGATTACAGTTAAGTCATTAGTGTAGGTCCACTGGTCTGTGCAAAGTTATTCCAGCCTGTCTGGAAATGTGCTCTACAGACCAGAACAGCATTTCAAGTTCAGCATACTGTGAAAGCATTCAACACTCTGGACCATTGGCAGTTCATCCTCACTCAGAGAAATGGCTGTGGCGTTCCATTTTAACCTTGGGGCAAGCTTTTTCACCTGTGAGCCAGGTTGTCTTTCCAGCAGTTAATTCCTGTACTCAACCCAATATTTAGGCACAGGGACTTTGGGGGCCTGTCCTTGTATATGAAAATGATGCTCTTCTTTGGGGGAGGTGTAGCTCATACTAGAAGGTATTCCTTTTCTATTACAGTGAAAATATTTGGAGTCTTTCCCACTATATGGAAATCTAGTTGCTAGATTCTTCAAGATAAGAAGTCATGACTTTTTGGGCCTCCCTGGTGGCGCAGTGGTTGAGCACTGGGCTGCAAAGCTGCCTGCAGTCTCTGCAGCGCTGGTTCGATCTTCAGCTGTGCGAGGGTCCCACATGGTACGCAGACCTCTCCTGCCATGCCTGCTGCTCCCCTCAGCAGTGTACTTCAGTCCTTCTGCCTGTTCTGCTCCCTGCTCTGGCTCTAGTGAATTCTCTCACCCTCCCATGCTTCAGACTGTACCCAGTGCTTGTATGAATAAATAAATAAATCTTTAAAATAAATAAATGAGGAAAAAAAAAGAAGTCATGACTTTTTGGGGGCTTTCCTGGTGGCGCAAGGCTTAAAGCCTAAGTGCTATCAAACTATCACTAGCCACTGTGGCATGAGTTTGATCCCCAAACAGGTAGCTAGCCCACGTGGCCCAGCAGACCTCTCCTGTTTTGCCTGCTGCTCCCCTTAGCAGTGTATTTCTGTAAATCTACCTGTTCTGCTCCCCACTATGTCTCTAGTGAATACTCTCACCACACGCCCCCCCCCCGCCTCCGTCTCTGGCCTATACCTCAGATATTCTACACACACACAAAAAAAAATAAAAGATGCTAAACATCACTAACCACTGGAGCAATGCAAACCAAAAACACAATGAGCTATTACTTCATACCTAAATATTGATTTTTAGGGGCCTCTCTGGTGGTGCAGGGATTAAAAGCTCAGCGCTATCAAGCTATTGCCAACCACTGCACATGAGTTCAATCCCTGGTCAGGGAGCTAACCCACATGGCACAGCAGACCTCTCTTGTCTCACCCACTGCTCCCCTCAGCAGTGTATTTCAGTAGATCTCCCTGTTCTGTTCCCCGCTCTTGAATTAATGTTTTTGTGTCCTTTGGGTAGATTTCTAAGAGTGGAATTGCTGGGTCATATGGAAGCTCTATGTTTAGTAGGTCCAGAAATCTCCACACAGCTCTCCATAGTGGTTGGACCAGTCTGCATTCCCACCAGCAGTGCAGGAGAGTTCCTTTTTTTCCACATCCACGCCAACATTTTCTGTTTCCTGTTTTTGGTTTTTTTTTTTAATATGTGCCATTCTCGCTGGTGTAAGGTGGTATCTCATTGTGGTTTTGATTTGCATTTCCCTGATTACAGTGATGTTGAACATTTTTTCATATACCTGTTGGCCATTTGCCTTTCCTCTTTGGAGAAGTGTTTTTTTAGCTCTTCTGCTCATTAAATTAAAATAAATCTTTTTTAAAAAAAACTAAAATCATGACTTTTCTCTCTGTGTGGCCACCTGTCTTCTGTAGCACTTACTAAGATATATGGCAATAATGCCAAATACTTGTATAGTATTATACATTAATGTATTATGTATAATACATTAGTATTATGCATTAATGCCAGACACTGTTTGAAGAACTTTCTATCTGTGATATTAATATATAATTGGTTCTCATAATTAACCTATTGTTCATGTGCTAATTACTGATAAAACTCATATGGCTATTAGCTGTGAGGGAGGCTATGAAACAAAGGCAGGGTACCCAACTCTACAATCTTCATCTGAAAAGCAGCTCTTGACTCAGTAACATCCTGGGACATCAAGCCGCGCCTCTATGAAACTGCTGTTGAAAATACACTATTGCAAGTTATTCTCCGAAAGAAATGCTTTAGAAACTGGGAACTACCCATTACTTACTTTTTCCAGAGCTGCAAAGAGCTGGCAATAAACTGAATGGAGCTGTAGGGGAAGGAACACAAATCATATGCAAGTTCTCCCCTTCCCTCCAGCTTCCACCCTCCCGGCAGGGTGGTTGCTTTTCCATCCCTGGCCTGCTATTTCCTATCACAACATGTCAGCTAATTTGGTCATCACAGAGCTTGCACACAAGCAGGTTCACAAGCTGGTTATGGTTTCTGCACCTCTGTGTTGGCTGGGGGCCTGCCAGAACAGCATCTTGCCAGGCACAAGAAGTCAGTCACTGCCCTACTTTCTATATTTTAATGATTTTTTTTAAAAATAAGATTAAGATGCAGAGAGGAGAGAATTTTCATTTCAAGGCTTTAATGCATATGCAAAAGACACTGTAATAATGATTCTGGGGCCTCCCTGGTGGTGCAAGGGGTTAAGCACAGCACTGTGAAGCTATTCTGCAGAACGAGTTTCATCCACAGCTGGCCAAGGAGCAACACACATGGTGCATCATACCTCTTCTGACTTGCCTGCTGCTCCCCTCAGCAGTGTATTTCAGTCAGTCTGCTTCTTCTGTTCCCCACTCTGTCTCTGGTGAATCCTCTCACCCCCCACACCTCTGACCTGTATCCCAGTTCTTGTGTGCATAAATAAATCAATCCCTCCCCTCCTACAAATGTCCTTGTCTACATGGGTGCTGCTTCCCTCCCAGCCCCGCATTTACAGGAGGACCTCAGAATTTCACTCTCTGCAGGAGAGACACCACATCCCTGTATAGCTGGTCTGAGCCTGGAGCCCCCACCAGAGCTCCCAGAGCCTGGGGCCAACTGTAGTTCCCTTTCATCTGACTTGCATCTCCCCAGCAGCCCTCCAGGCAGCGCCAACTCACCTCCATGGTGACACGCTCTTCAAGTATCCCAGAAGCTTGTCAGCTAACCCCAGGGGCTATTTATTCAGGATGGAATTTGCAGCAGTTTCAAAGGTGAAGCTCCCTGGCCCTTCCTTCAGCCTGCTATGGCCCAGATGGATCAACCCCAGCACTTAGCCAGTTCCCTCTGCCCTTTACTAGGGCATGTGCAGACAGGCTGGGAGTAGAACAGTCAGCAAGCACTGTAAATCCCATACCTAGCGTGGTGGCCAGGAGGTGGAGAATGGTTAGAAGAGGTACTAGATGGGGTAACTGGTTGGCATATGTCTCAAAGAACTAAGAGTTTCACCTGAGTGTGGAAAAGCAATGGTATAGAATGTGCATTGGGAAGTAAAAGCAAAACACTTTTCAACACCAAAAACAAATGGAAAACACAAACCATAATTTCCTGCATTAACTTTTATATTTTATTTGATTTATTGGAAAACCACTTATGCTTCCGATGTACATTTGTGGGTTGAAGTATTATGAGGATCTCATTTATTTTTCAACATTCTATTTGGTGATGAAACAGCTTTTATTGTAATACGACAGAGTATGCACTGAGGAGGCATATTTTGTTGTGAGCATCAGAAACAGGTTAGCTACCTTATGCCATATACTGGGTAGGAAGTAGACCCAAATCAGGACTTGAGGTGAACAGAGAAGTCAGGGGCATCCCAGCAATCAGAGTGTCAGGACTGCTAGCACACAAGGACCCAGTGCTGGAATGACCCAACTCAATCCATTCCTACTTTATGTCACACAATTCAAGATTCAATAACCTGGAAAAGAAAGAGACTGGTGGATTATATGTCACATTCGCAGTCTGGGAGGGCAGGAGAGCTGCAGGCAGGCAGGAAAGAGAGCTGGAGAGCTAGTGCCACAAACACTTCCCCCAGAGCATGGGTGATTCTCCAACAGGATATCTGGATCCTGCTACCAACAGCAGGAGTTTAAGGGCGGTGAGGCACAGGCCCTGGATCCTGCTACGAGCAGACACAGAAAGCCTGCAATGTTTCACCTGCGGTGGCCAGGCCATGCTCCCCTGCCATGGCAACCTGAGAAAGGGGCCTGGAAACAAAGCCTGAGAATCATCTAACATGCCAGGAGGAGAAAGAGCAGTAGGGAAATGTGATAAGGCTCAGAAAAGGCAAGAAGCTTCTTAACGCTGTTAGAGGAGGTCATCCCACCGAGGGGGTGACCAATGGAGCTGCGACAGGTATTAAGACAAACACTGGCTCTCATACGAGGGCAGTGAGGAAAGGTTTGGGGCCTGGGGGGTGGCACACATTGTGTCTTCTTCATGTCTATTTCAACCAGGAAGATCCAGAATGCTCGTGCCAGGTGTTACAAATTACCCTTCAGGCTATCACACCAAGCTCAGGCTTATCGGTGAACTGAATCTGTTGACCAGGTTTAAGTTCCTCAAACAGGATGACCTGCAAGAAGAAGATAGGGTGGCCATGAGATTCAAGAGCTGCCCCTGAAGCAGGTGTACTGGGAGATGGGAGGGGCAGCAGGGGGAGCCCACCTCATTTGTTCCAGGTCGAAGCCAGGGTGCTGGCAGGTAGAGGGTCTCCTGGGGACCTTTATTCCAGTAGCGCCCCAGATTGTTACTATTGATGAATACTACTCCTTTTGTCCAGTCCTGAAAAGAATTGGAACCAATGGTTCACAGTCTGAGTTGTAGAGGTAAAGACACAAGAGGAGAACACACACACACACACACACACTAGTATACCATATACTAGACACACACACATACACACACCCCGAGTACACCATAGACACACCAGATTGTAGCCTTAGACACACTCAGACAAGACGGATAATTAACAATGGGAGAGTTTTATACCACAAACCCTGGCCTGGGACTGGCTCAACCCTCAGGCCTCAAGAAGGAGGGTACTAAGTTCTAGGATCATTCCCCTTCATCTGACCCAAGTCAGGGCTTTATTTCCATCTGCCATCAGGTATTCATCAAATTAACCTGGACCCAAAACATAATTAGAGCTGTAGCAATTCAGGTGTGGCAGTAAGTGGGCACCGGACTCCCACCTACAACATCTCTAGGCTGGATGGTGAGTGCGTGGGGGGTTTAGGGTCTCAACATCTTGGGTTAGGTCTGATCATGCTAACTAAAGTTCCCATGCAGTGGATTCTACAGCTATCACCACGAGACACTATTCTCACATCTGTGCCACATTTGTTCATCTTCCACACCCACCCTAGTTCGCACCAGAGAAGACGCAGCCTCTAAGACAACTGTAGAGCAGGGGAGGTCCCCCAAACCTTAAATTTCAGGATAAGGTCCATGCATCAAGGTGCTGGTTTTCCAAGGTGCTGTAGGTGCTGAGGTAGGGAAGGAGGAGAGGGAGGAGAGAGGTAGGGAGGAAAAATCACTAACCTCTAGCTTTATGAAGGTGTCTTTGGGGTGATTAAAAACAGTCATGAAAGCGAGGAAGAAGGCGGGGCCCTGAATATCAGGTTGGTAGTTGACTGGTTTCCAGATGTTAGGAATGCCCCTGAGAGAGAGTCGAGCACCAATGAAAAAGGTCATGCCCACCTTCATAAGGTGTCTGCTAGGACTTTTGAGGCAAGTCTCTTCTGCTCAAGTCTCGCACCCCCTCTGTAGGACAGGCCTAGGCCTTTCAGGGTATGTGATGCAGTAAATATGCCCGCAGACCAGGGGTTGAGGGAATGAGGGGACAGTCTCCACACTGCCCCGGGCAATTCTGGAAAATGAGTCACTTCTCTTGTTTTGGGTCTCCCTCTTTTTCTCTGTCTCTTTTTTAATTTTATTTATTTATTTATTTTATTTATTTATTTATTTATTTATTTATTTATTTATTTATTTATTTATTTATTTATTTGTAGTCCCCAAAGTTCTCTGGCCCTGTATCATCCATGGCCATCACAATAGTCCCCTTGTTTTCTTACCTCCCCTGTTTTGACCCCCCTTTCATCCCCCTCTCTTGCTGTAGGCCTCAGATCTATGGTTTTGCCTGCAAGTTTTGTCTTTTACCTGATCCTTTGTTCAGTTTCCCTATATTCCCCCTATAAGTGAGACCATCGACATTTTTCTTTTTCCTTCTGACTTATTTTTGCTTAGCATAATCCCTTCCATCTCTCTTATTTCAAAAGCAAAAGGGTTGGTCTGAATGTCTCTGAGCTTCCATCCTTCTCTAAACGCTTCCCATCATTAAGGAATTAATGAGTCAATGTCTTCTATACCCACCTTTTCATGAACTTAACACTCATCTCCAGGCTGAAAATTTTAAATTTTCTTAATGGAGAGTTGTTAAGATAGATATCCCCAGTTAAACCTATAGGAGAGGGAAGAAAGGGAAGTGAGGACAGCAAGAAGGATGCAGAGATGTGAATGGACTATGGACAGTGTTGCCTCTCCTGACCTCATCAGAAAGAAGGTCACTGCAAAACCCTCCCTGGGTCGCTCCTCTGTGTGCCCATGCGAGTCTCTAGAGTGGTGCCTGTGACTTCTCCATCAGTAGCACAAAAGGCACTGCAATTCCTGCCAAGTCTGCCTAGCATAGGCTCTGGGATAATTAAACTTTTGCATAGATCAAAGTACTCTGGGGTCCTCCCTGGTGGTGCAAGGGGTTAAGATGCAGCACTATGAAGCTACTCGCAGCCACTGCAGCACTAGTTCGATCCCCAGCCAAGGAGGTGACCTACATGGCGCAGCAGACGTCTCACCCGCTGCTCCCCTAAGTAGTGTATTTCAGTAGATCTGCCTGTTGTGCTGCCCACTCTATCTCTGATGAATCCTCTCACTCCCCACACCTCTGACCTGTACCCGAGTTCTTGTATGCATAAATCATCTTTAAGAAAAATAGAGAAAAATTCATTTAAAAAAAATTGCTAAGGAGGGACTCTTAACCACTTTTTTCTCCAAGGTCATTTCTATAGCTTTCTTTGAAAACCTCCCAAAGAGCAAAGGCAATGTGCTGGCTTGGGAACTAGAGGAAACACTTGGGCTGGGGTGAGGATCTAGCAGGACAGGTCACAGTTTCTATATAAGGGGCCTCATGACCAGGAGATGCTGTTCTCCTCCAAACCACATACCTTGCCAGAACTGTCTTCAGACTGGAGTAAAAGCAACAGGAATTAGATGCCGCAAGATGTCAAGTTGCTCCATTATGGAACCCACCTTTTCTCTCCTTATTGATGTTCTTCCCTGAGGAGAGTCTGCCTTGATTCTCCACCAGGATACTCAATGTCATGTAGTCCTTGTAGCCCTGTCCAAGATAGACCATCCAGAGTGGGGACCACACAGATACTCTCCTATAGACCTCTTAGACCTTTCCAGAATCTATGGTGAGATCATAAGCAGGTAGACTGCCAGAGAGCAAGACTCAGAACCCTCCAGAACTCCAGCTTGGAATCAGGCAAACCTTGGAGCTCCTGTTCCCCTTACTGATCCCCACCCCCATGCTGTGGCAGGCCTTACAGCAGTCACTTGAACATTTTACCAGACACTATTGAGGCCCAGTTTCTGGATAGTGAGTTCCCAAGACGAAAGTCCTGCTTCCCCAAAACATATATAACTGTACCTTAGGGATGAAATTATACCCATATTTGGGCCCCTCTTCCAGGGACAACCCAGAGGCCAGCGGCCGAGAAAGGAGGCTATCACAGGGCCAGACCACGCTTCCAATTGAGCCCGGGACATAGGCAGGCACTAGAACTATTAGTCCAGTAACATTGGATTATATACATTTTTCCTGGGAATAGTCACTTGATTGTTGGTGTGATCCAGGATGCCCATAAACTTCTTATCCAAAAATACCTGCCAAAGAAAGAGGAAAGTACTATTAGATCATTACCGATAAAGGGGGGAAGAGGGGCCTTCGAAAAGCAGATAAGGATTAAGTTCTAATGGAATATTTAACTATTTCACAATATTTAAATATTTAACTTTATCACAAACTGACCACAAAGTTGTAAACATAGAACAAATTTATTTACTTATTTTTTTAATTGATTTTATTCATTCATGCATACAAGAACTGGGGTGTAGGCCAGAGGTGCAGGGGATGAAAAGATTCACCAGAGACAGAGTGGGGAGCAAAACAGGTGGATCTACTGAAATACACTGCTGAGGGGAGCAGCTGGCAAGACAGGAGAGGTCTGCTGAGCCATGTGGGTCAGCTATCTGGCAGGGGATGGAACTAAGGCCACAGTGGCTGGCGATAGTTTGATAGTACTGAGACTTAACCCATGCGCCACCAAGGAAGTCCCATGGAACAAATTTAAAGCAGCAGTAATAAGCTGGATGAGGCCAAGTCCAGACAAGAGTACCTGTAAGCAAATCCAGGCCCTGATGCCACCGCAGGACAGGGAGAAAAAGGACAGAATTAAAAGGACCTGCCCCTATGCTTATAGCAGCACTATTTACAAGATGTAAAACCTGGAAACAACCCAAATGCCCCCAAATAAATGACTGGATCAAGAAGATGTGATATATATACACAATGGAATATTATTCAGCAATCAAAAATGATAAACTCATGCCATTCGCAGCAATGTGGATGGAGCTAGAAGGAATTACGCTCAGTGAAAAAAGCCAGAAGGAAAAATAAAAATATCACATGGTTTCAATTATAGCAGGAATATAGGAAAACCAAATAAGACATCAGTGTAAAAAATTAATAACAGTACAAAACACAACAAAGCAAAAACAGGAAATTATAAATCAGAGACATCCTGTACGGGAGGAGGAGGGAGAGGGGTCAGGGGGAGGGAGGGAGGAGCACAGGGGACTGAGGTGATGGTGCACGGGTGCACTGGTGAAGGAAACTCTATGGGGACTACACCTGAGGGGGTGAGGGAAGCAAATATTATTTAAAAATGAACAATTATGTAAAAAATTAAAAATTACTATATTAGAAAGAAAGAGAAAAAGAGAGAGAGAGAGAGAGAGAGAGAGAGAGAGAGAGAGAGAGAGAAAAGACCTGCAGAGAATGAGGGGAAAGGAAGGAAGATGATGACTGTTGTGAGAGAAGTGCGGGGTGCGGGGAAAGGAGTTGGAGGTGGGTGTGTGGGTGGTAGAGTCTAGGTGCAGCAAGTGTCTGCCTGCCTTGCCCACATGGATTCACCTGTGTAAAGGACCCAGCCTGGGTCTCCCCAGATTCTTCTCTGGAAAGGCTGCCCTCACCACTATATCTTCTTTTACTGATAACCTCAAAGTAAATCTATTCTGTTATCTACCATTTTGCTTCAGTCTCAAATTAAGCCACCCAGAAGGCTCTCTGCTCTAGCCTTATAGGGCCAGAGGATACATAATTTGCCCCCTAGATTAATGGAGTTATAACACAATTTTTCAAGAGAGTTGACTGGGAAATTAGAAAAATTAAAACCTACAGGTAAGTATTTGTAGTATACAGAAGACATAATTCATATTCTAAGCTCAATTTTAAGTTTGATTGTAAAGTATGTATATTCTATAATCATTTATTGAACACACGCTGAATGTCTAAGTATTTCCATATGGAAAGGGGTCACCAAGGTTTGGTGGTGGGAGGACTATGGTGACCACAGCTGAGAGGGGAAATTCTATACTGTCAAAACACTGGCAGGGATGTAGAACAATGTACTTCAATAACAATAAATAAATTTTAAAATAATAATAAAAATTAAAAGAACACAGCCCCAGCCACTGAGGAAAACTGAGGTAAAATGTTCACAACAGCTACCATGGAGCTTCACACAGATTGCTGGGGAAGCTCAGAAAAGGGAATGACAAGTCCTAACCAAGAGCGGAATTCAGTCTGTTTCACTGACAGGATGATAAGTAACGGGGAAATCAATGGAAGGTTGCTAAGTGGGGAGTGATGTGATGGATTTTTACCTTGGAGAGATACTCTGATAGCTCTTTAAGGGTGGGGGCGGGGGGTGTTAGCAAGAAGGAGGGTAAAGCTGAGCTGTTTGAAACAGGAAGTTCTTTTATGAGGTTCAGACTATAGTAGAAGATACCAAGATGATTCTGAGGCAATGACAGCCCATATTTTAAAAGAAAACCAACTGAATAATGTGCCCCATAACTGGGCAAGTTGAAGGTAGACATGAAGGAAAAATAAGGAGGGGGCTGTGGGGCCATTTTCAGACTGTGAGTCCATGAACCAATGTGAGGAAAACAGGATGAGGCTTATTTAAAAAGCTAATGAGGAGCCTCCCTGGTGGTGCAAGAGGTTAAGCATCAGCACTATGAAGCTAATGGCAACCACTGCAGCATGAGTTTGATCCCTGGCCAGGGAGGTGACCCACATGGCATAGCAGACCTCTCCTGACTTGCCCACTGCTCCCCTCAGCAGTGTATTTCAGTCAGTCTGCCTGTTCTTTTCCCCACTCTGTCTCTGGTGAATCCTCTCACCCCCCTCCTGTACCTCTGGCCTATACCCAAGTTCTTGTATGCATAAATAAATATATCTTAAAAGTAAAAAAAAAAAGCTAATGATTTTAAACATGATGGTTTGGGTTTGAAAAACTGGAATGTCTAGGAGAGAGAAATGTTGATTGAAACACAGGAAAAATTAAATCTGCAGTTGAGGAGAAGGAAGGGTGGAGTAAAGTCACCAAAAAGTCTTGGAAGAAGTGAATACAGATAGCATAGATGGAGTAAAGAGAAAGAAAATTCCAAGACCTGAAGAATGCACCTTTTAACTGAGAGTGAGATGGTAAAACCTTCAATCTTGGCTCTACTGCTTCTCCATCAAATGTCCTTTGAAAGTCATTTAACTTCTCTAAGATTTCCTCATTTATAATAAATATCTCAGATGGGTACTTTGAAAATTAAATGAGAAGAGCTAACTGGAATGTGCTATGTAAATTCAAGGATTGCTGTGCAGTAAGTACAGGGATAACCAAAGCTCTTTCCAGGTCTCTAAAATATTATCTGCTCCAATAGGGTGCAGTTAGTACCATCCCTGGGAAGGTTTACATACCTTAGACTTCTGGTAGCAGGTAACATGTAAAGTATATCATTGAAGAAACAAAGGTTAAGAAACTGATGATTTCTTGAAAGTCAAAAGGAGATTTGACTATGTTTAGACATTCACTTTAGCAGCACTATAGAGTTTTACTAGCAGGACCCATCCACCAGTTCCCTACCTGACCCCGATCTTGAACATGATTCCTTGAGGTCAGGAAGCCTCCATTGAAGATGACAGTCTCATAAAGTATATAGCCATAGGACTGACCTCTCCCACCGTTCACATTCAGGTTCTCCATGGTGACTGGCTTGACTGACCGGAATGGCTGAGGCAGAGAAAGGAGCAAAAAACGGGATAAAGATTCCAACTAGAAAGAAGAATTTCAGAAAGCAACACCCAAACCCCACTTCTCCAGCGGGATGGTCCCAAGAGCTTTGGGACAGGGGTAAAGAAAACAGAATGTGTAATAACAGTCATGATTAGGTATCATATGTAAATTGCCATTTGTTTTCTCTGCATATGCTGCCAACAAAGTATTCTTTTTTTTTTAAGATGGAAAGATTGAAGTCAAGAAAAGGGAATGATTTGTGGGACTTTCATCAATCCATAATAAAGCCTGGACTAGACTCCTGATGTACCAGATTCTGTTTATCTTTGGCCTTCTCTCCTTTTTTCTTTATTCACGAAGAGAAATTATCCAAGCCATGGTATAACTGACCATGATTATGTTACAGGCAAACCCCGATATAAAATGGGGTTGCCTGACTGTGGATCCTCACCCGAGCACTTAAAGGGGACTTATTAATGCTAAACTGCAGACACACACAAAAGGTTTCTTTACAAGGGAAGGGGAAATGGGAAATGAGTAACTCTGGGAGAAAAAGAGGGAGATAAGTTCGTAAATGCGTCCTACCCACTGACCTGGAATCTCAATGACCCACAGAGCTGCCAAAAAAACCTAGCAGGCCTGGTGGCCAAGCCCTCTCCCCCCTCCCCCTCCACCCCCACCCCCCTAGCCTCCTACCCCCACCCCGGCCACCTGGCCAGTTAAATACCCAAACCAAGAGCCTAGTTGCTTAACTCCACCCTCAGATCCTCAAAACCTTCCCTTTGGTGATCATGAGATTTGTAGTTCCCAGTGTCGCAGGGGTGGAGTCCACAAAGCCTGTATGGAGTTAGCTCAGGACATCCTTTCCCCCTAACAATTATTCATGACTCTTCATTTCTAACATTGGCCTAAAGCACTCCCTCTCTATTTACCCTCATGTATACTGGACTTCTCCATGGAAGATCCAACCCAATATTCCCAAGCTATATTTACCACCTTCCCCATACTATTCTTTCCTTTCTAAATAGCAACACCAACCATCCAATCAGAAAGGTGAAAAACATGGACAATATCTTCTCCCTTCTCCTCAACAAGCCCCATCAACCAGTAACCCCCTCCACTAGAGTCTGCAAATATCAGTTTTATTAATCCTTCTTCTCTCCCATTATCTAAGCTCAACTTCTATTTGGTTTCAGTGCTCATTTTCAGCATGGCCCCACTCTAATCCAAGCCCCATATAGCTACTAAATTGATATATAGCTACTAAATCCTTCTAAAATGCAAACCCGATCATTTGACTCCCAAAATTACTTTAAAATATCTCAAACTTCGTAGCATAAAAACATTGCCTACCAGAACTCCTTGGAGAAACAGAGGATATCACATCGTGAAACATCCAGGAGGACCAAAAAGTCAAGAAGATAACAAAACTACTAGAATCATATCAAGAGGACACAGGTGTTGACTTAAAGGAACACCTGAGGGGGGAGATCCTATACCTCTGATCAATGTTGTAAAACAATGCTACCTCAATTTAAAAGATAATAAAGGAGCTTTTGTTGGTTTAGATGGGACTATTTGTACATCAAAAAACAATGATGATAGTGGGGTAAAAACATGCTATATATGTTAAAATCTGTGAGTTTATAATTAAACAAAGAACAACAAAAGCAAAATTTCAGGAATATGCGGGAATAAATTCATTATCTCAATAAAAGAAAATACTTGATGTTTGTCCTGACTTTTCTGTACATCTAGGTAACAAGATAGTTGGTGAAAGAAAGTGATTCTATGTAGAAGAATTCAAGAAAATAAATGTGGCAGGAATTACAGAATTAAAAATGATAGCTATTTTGAAAGCCTAAGGGGGAAAAAATGAATATAGGGAATAATCATCAATGATCAATGAAACCATTAGGTAAAAAACTGATGGGAAATTGATAAATTTGGGCTAATATCTGAACCCACTGATCAATTATGAAAACAGAAGCAAGCAGCCAGTATGTGCTGGGATATGAGGTATAAAAAGTATAGCAGAACACTTAGAAACATTTAAAAATAAAATTCTATCTGATCTCAACAAGCATCCAGTTCCAACTACCAGTTCATAGAAAATGCAGGAAGTATAAAGACATTACAAATGGGGATCTTATCAGCAAAACCCAGAGTACAGGGAATTCTGCATTACAAATCATTCTGCTTGTTCAACAAATTTTATTAAAAAATAGATGGAAAAATCTTTAAAGAGACTCAAGAGACATATCAACTAAATGCAATATGCTAAAACATAGGTACAAAACTCATCAATCTTAGCAATGCTTGTTTGAACATGACACCAAAAATACAAACAACAAAGGAAAAATTGACTATTGGGGCTACATGAAACACCAAGCTTTTGTACAGCAAAAGAAATAATTAACAAGTGATAAAGCATCCTACAGAATTGGAGAAAAATTTTTCAAACCATACATCAGACAAGGGGTTAATATTCAAAATACATTAAAAACTGATGCAACTTAACAAAAAAATCTGATTAAAAAATAGGCAGATGTTCTGTTCCCTGCTCTGTCTCTGGTGAGTTCTCTCACCCTCCCGCACTTCTGACTGTACCCAGTGCTTGTATAAATAATTAAATAAATCTAAAAAAAAAAAAATAGGCAGAAAGGGCCTCCCTGGTGGCCCAGGGGGTTGAGTGCAGCGCTGTGAAACTGACCGCAGCCTCTGCAGTGTTGGTTCAATCCCCGCTGGCCGCGGAGATGCCCACATGGCGATGCAGACCTCTCCTGTCTCCCTCACTGCTCCCCTCAGCAGTGTATTTCGTCAGTCTGCCTGTTCTGTTCCCTGCTCTGTCTCTGGTGAATCCTCTCACCCTCCCGCACACCTGGCCTGTACCCCAGTTCTTGTATAAATAAATAAATCTTTAAAAAAAAATAGGGGCCTCCCCTGGTGGCGCTGCAGTTGAGCGCTGGGCTGCGAAGCTGCCCGCAGTCTCTGCAGCGCTGTTTTTATCCCTGGCTACCGGCGAGGGTCCCACATGGCGTGCAGACCTCTCCTGCCGCCCTGCTGCTCCCCTCAGTAGTGTATTTCATCAGTCTGCCTGTTCTGTTCCCCGCTCTTGCTCTGGTGAATTCTCTCACCCTCCCGCGCTTCTGACTGTACCCAGTGCTTGTATAAATAAATAAATAAATCTTTTTTTAAAAAACAAAATAAAATAAAAATAGGCAGAAGAACTAAATGGACATTTTTCCAAAGAGGACATCAAAATGGCCAAAAGACATATAAAAGATGCTCAAGGGGCCTCCCCATTGGCCTAGGGGTTAAGTCCCAGTGTTATCACTGCTATCGCCTCAGTTCAATCCCCGGGCAGGGAGCTAAACTATATATGACTCAAGAGACCTCTCCTGTCACAGCCGCTGCTCCTCTTTGCAGTGTATTTCAGTAAATTTACCTGTTCTGCTCCCCACTGTGTCTCTGGTGAATCCTATCATGCCCCCCCTCCCCACCTCTGGCCTACACCCCAGACCGTCTACACAAAAAATAAATAAATAAATAAATAAATTTGAAAAATAAATAAATAAAAGATGCTCAACTTCACTAACCATTGGGGCAATGCAAACCACAAACACAATGAGATATTACCTCATACCTATTCGAATGGTTATCATAAATTAAAATAAGAGAGAACAGATGCTGGTGAGGATAAGATCAACACGGAGCCCTTTACACTGTTGGTAGGAATATAAACTAGTTCAACACTGTGGAAAACAAAGTAAAGATTCCTCAAAAAATTAAAAATAGATCAACCATAGACCCAGCAATTCTACTTCTAAGTATATAGAGAAAGGACTTGAAAACAGGATTTTGAGAAGTTACACACACTCCCATGTTTATCACAGAACTATTCCCAATATTCATATATACACAATGGAATATTACTCAGGCAGGAGAAAGGAGGGTATTCTGTTATTTGAGATGACATCATGGACCCTGAACATATGGGAAAGTCAGACAGAGAAATGCTAGTACTGTATGATACTATTTACATGTGAAATCCAAAAAAGCCAATCATGTAAAAAACAGAAAGTAAAATGGTGTTTGCCAGAGGTTGGAAGTGGGTAGATAAAACGGATGGTGCTTAGTAGCAAAAACTTGTAACAGTCATTAAAAAGCCCATAGAGACCTAATGCACATTATTATAATATTGTACTATAATTATATAATGTGGTAAATATCACTATAATGGCATATTTCAATATATAAATGTATCAAAGTAAATTTAAAAATCATTGCTCTAGAGCCCATCAATATACCTGCATTTTAACCAATGTCAGAAAGTAGGGGATCTGGTCTCAGTTAACCTCCCATATCCTGAAATGTTCACAGTTCTTCAAATTTAAATTTTCTTATCCCAGTTTTCTTATTCAGAACTAGAAGGAACCAAAACTGCTAAGGATTGCTTTTGTTCCCTAATGATTGACGCCCTGTTCTTTGAGCTAAGTCTTTCCTTCCTCTCTCTTCTGCCTAAAGGCTTTCCAAAGCTTCCATACCGAGAACATGTTTACCTCCTCCAGGTAGGGTATGATGTCCCACAGTGATATGAAGTGTGTTACAGTCAGTGACTTATATGCAACCTTAGGCTGAGATTCTGGTAGTTCGGTCTTGGGGAGCCCTGCAACAAAAATCATGAGGTTGGGCCATACCAGGACCCTCTGCCAACCCATCCTGGGGCACAATGTACTCTGCCATCCCAAAGCCACCAAGAATAAAGGAACTGGTCACAGATAGGACATGTCTTCTCAATTCCAGAAAGAGGCAGGGTGGCCAATGATTGAGTGGGACTTTATAGGCTCTGAGGCTGTGTGCCAGGCTGTGCTGGAAAAGAAGGTGGCACCTCAGTCTTACCACTGGGCCAGCAGTTCTACACTTTGGCTACTCATCAGATTGTCCTAAAGCCCAGCAAGATATGCATATAGCCAGATGCCGCTCCTTCCTCCCCATTTTAAACAAGACAGTCTTAATCTAATAGTGCTGGGTAAATTCTCAGAAGTCCCACAAAGGATTCTAAGAAGCAACTCAGACTAAGCTAGCTGCTGAGTGACTCCAGGGTGGGCCCTGTATCTTGCGCATATTGGAAACCATGGTGCCTAATGAGAAAATAAACTAGAGCATAGTGAACATCCCCCCAAAAGAACATCTCTCCTCATTCTCTATTCTCATTCCCCTCTTCATAGGGCAGAGACCCCTAAGGGGCTGACTTAGCATTCAGCAGGAGGTTGATGCTGGGTACCTAGATAAGAGCTAAAAAACTCTTGAAATGTGAAATACTCCGGTGTATAATCTCCATTCTCTTTCAGCAGTCCCCCATAGTCTGAAAAACATAAAGAAATTTGTCACTTTTCCCTAGAAAGTCACAACTTCAACAAAGGAAGAGATGAGTGTTTAGTATTGAGCAAAACAACCCTTAATAAAACAGCTTTGCGAAGAAAAATTGAGGCATTAATCAAGAAAATGCCAAATCCTAGTTAGTCCAAACTAAGAAACAGCTTGGTGCTTCCCAGGGCTTTCAATAGGAGGCCAAGCATACCAGCCCCTGGAGAGCTAATAAACCAGGAAGAGAGCCCAGCTACTCAGATTCCCTGGCTCGATGTCTTTTGCAATGCTGATTGCATTCTTTCTTTCTTTCACCCTTGACTTTTCATGTGCTCTCTTGGGAGAGCTGTAGTGTAGACAAGACCTAATTAACCAATACCATGGTGCTGTCAGAGACCCAAGGTCACTGATTCTGCAGTTAACTTCTAAGAACAAGGGTCTGCAGAGAGGAAAGACAAGATTAAGCTACCAAAGTCTCAGCTTGCAAAGTCCCAGATGGTCTAGACTGCAGTGATGGATAAATTCTAGACCTGTCAAAGGAATGAATATCAAGCCTTCAGTCCCCAGCCTATATAAAGGTAAGTAGAGTAATAGTACTGGAGATTGTTTTCAGAGGCCCAGTCTCAAATGGCAGAGTGGCCTAGGTTGGAGACAACTGTGGATGACAAGTACTTACCATAGCTGGTGACCACAGGGAAAAAGGAATCTGAAAATTTAGCTCCACCCATAAAGCCAAAGTTGGTACCACCATGGAACATGTAGAAGTTGACAGAGAACTGAAGGCCTAGCATTTCTTGTAAGTCTTTCATTAACACTGGTAGGAAGCAAGGAGAAAGTGGGAGAGAATGAAGGTCTGACAGAGTAAATAGTTGCGTGGGGGACTTTCAAGCTGCACAGGTTAAATATTTGTGCATCTCCATCTTAGGTAAATATAGGTCCACCTCTGTGTTTCTGCAGTACTCAGTAACTTCTCACAGTGGTTGACCTGAAATCCCAGCACCAGGAACATTGCCTTACACTTAATTGACCATTGTTAATTCTTTAGGAAGGACATGGCAGATAATCTGGGGCCAGAGAACATTTTACTTCCACCCTAAAATCTCAATTTCATTACATCTGGGGTGCCCTGTGTGTGTTGTCATTTCACTTGAACAGAGGTAGGCAAAGTGTCTACTTAACCTCACTGATACTTATAAAATTGGAAGATCTATCAGTCTTGCCCTTACCTATCAAGTGTACTTATCAGCAGGGAGGAAAACACAGGCAAATGTCATCTGTGTCATCTTTTCCCAAGAAAGAAACTAAAGAGGACTCACTGTGTGAGTCTGGAATATGCCGAGGCAGTCCCCACACATCTGGAGAGCTGGCTGTGTACACCATCATCAATATGGGGCTACGGCCCTGAGAAAAATGAAGGGCTGGTTTTGAATGTTTGCTGTGATTTAGAAGGTTGGTTGGTTGGTTGGTTGGTTTGTTGGGAATCCAACCATCTAAGGTCCTTACCTGAATTGAATAGAGTGATTCATAGGTTTTTTTACTTATATCCTTCATGTGGAGAGTGGAAAGCACTGTGGAGGAGAAGAAATGCTCATCAGGTCTCGCTACAAGCACTGAAAGTTGCGCGCAGAAAACTGGCCCTCAGCTCAGACTGGAGAGCTGGGCCTGGCTCTTCCCACACTTGCACCTCCCAGACTTTCAGGCTGGACAGCTCATGGTCACCAACAAAGATGTGGTGCTACACTTGTACCATGTAAGTATGTGATGCACAAGATGAAGTTTTTTCAAATAACTCCCTTCACGTAGTGTTTGCAATGAATGACCCAGAGAATAATAAGGGTGTTTAAAATAAACCACATTATGCTGACCAAAATCCAAGAGAAGAAATTATGCCCAGAGAGGTGACTAACCGAAGACCTAAGACTTGACTATAGATCTCCTGAGTTCTCCTTTAGAGCATTATTCTGCCTCTTCCCCAATGAGATGATGGGCCACCAGGAAGCCTGGGAGAGAGACCAGCAGAGGAGAAAGTTCCTGACGCAACTGTTTGGAATTAAAAATTCCAAAAATCATTGACCTCTGGCTCTACTTGTTCACATATTACCTTCTGTGTATTCCTCCTCATAATTCTATCCCATGTTTCTCTACTGCTTTTATTCCCTAGTCTTATTTACCCCCTGAGAGCTGGGTCTGGTACTATTTGTCTAACACTGTGTCCACTTCCAGTTGCTCAGTAGGGGGCATTGCATCCACTTCCAGTTACTCAGGAAGCACATCGGCACCAGAGATGGCCTTTACTCTGGTCCCAGTTGGGCTGGTTCTGGGCCCTGAGGATGGAGGAGGGTGAAGGAGGATGGAGCAAGTGTTCCTCATTGATGATACCTGGGGCAATGGCTGGTGGGCAGCTAGGTAGGCAGACAGACTCCTTCACTCAGTGCTCACCACTCAGCTAAACACTATGGGGACACATGCATGGGAAATGGGAACACTTCAAAGGGATTCCAGCTCTATTTCAGACTTAACTAGTAGAAGATATAGGGCAAAACCAAAAGTGCACCATTTTTCAAGTGGCCATTTGACAGCTCTTGTCCACCATCTGCAGTCATGAACAGCACTTCAATCCCTCTCTTCACCAGGGCCTGTGGAGAAATTCAGTGAAGTTAAAAAAAAAAAAAAAAAAAACTGTTCCTGGTCTTGTGGGATTGCTTTTCTCTGAAAAAAGTGATGGCAATAAAAGTACTGAACTGGAACTGATGAATAGGAAAAAAGGTCTTATTTTGCTTAGCATTATCCTCTTCAGGTCCATCAGTGCTAGCACAAATGGCAGGAGTTCACACTTTTTTATAGCTGAATCCATTGTATGTACTATGTATTGATGTGTGTGTGGTGTGTGTGTGTGTGTGTGTGTGTGTGTGTGAAATCTCCTCTTCTGTCCTTCAGCACTGTTACAGAGTGTGGTAGGGGTGGCGAAGGAAAGAGTCCTGATAGAACATAAAGGATTGTTGGGGCACTGGTGGCGGACAGGCTGGGCCATTAGTATATTAGTAGATATTTGAAACTGTAACTCCTAGAGGAGATACAATGATGTTAACCTACTTTACGTCAATAAACATAACTTGGGGGGGAGGGAATTATGGCAAACTAGACATTTTCAGACAAACAAAAAGTGAAAGAATTTGTTAATAGCATACCTATATTTATAAAGAAAATACAAAAAAATTCTTCGGGGAGAGGAAAATGGTAAGGAAGAAAAAGCTCAGTGATGCAGAATGGGAGAAAAGCAACAAAAAGCAGATTTTGTGGGTAAATCTAAATAATTATATAATAAAATTAATGTCTTGGGCATTAAAAGAAATGACAACAATAGTACTTAAAATAGAAGGGAGAAAAATGCAATTAAATTTTTCTTGGGTATTTTCTTTACCCTGGAGTTGGCAAACATATTACTTTATAATGAACACTAATAATTCAAGGATATATTCTGTCATTTCTATGGCCAATTCTAAAAGAAAAGTGAAAGATGTCTAATGAGCCAGCAGAGTGGGGAAATGGAAAATAAAATATAAAAATAAAAGTATAAATTAGTATAACAATAAAAAATAATCAATTCAAAAGAAGAAAAGAGAGAGAAAAAAGGACCAGTTCACTGTCTGGTCCTATAACAACCAGACAAATAGAAAGAAAATAATAAAACGATAGATTTAAACACAAATATCAATAATTATATTAAATGTAAAGAAACCAAATATCTCATTTAAAAGACAAGAATTTCATAATAGGTTAAAAAATAAATTCTGATTATATACTGCTTACAAGGTATGTATCTGAAATGGGTGGATACAGAAATTTTGAAAGTAAAAGGACAGAAAAGTATGTATTATATAAACACAAGTTAAAAGAGAGCTATAAAATTCAGAAAGGAAAAATATCTGAACATCATCCTTTGCCTTACATTAGAGTTTTATAGGTAGTTTTCCAGTTTATTCTCTAGAATGTAAAATCATGAATAAACTAAATTGGACCATCTTCATATCACATAATATCATGCAAACCATAACTCCACAAACTGACAAAGTGAGAAAGGGAAATATGTAAATATGGAGGAAAACTAAAGGAGCACTTACCTTTTGAACATACCGCAAGTATCTTTTATCCATATTATATGAACCATATTCATTCTCGATCTGCACAGCGATGATGGGGCCTCCATTTTTGAACTGAGGATTAGGGAGATGAGTTTGAGAATGAGACTACAAGGGGTGAAGGCTGGATTTTCACAATCTGCTTCTCTACATATATATTAGGTACATTACTGGTTTCCCTGAGTCTAATTAACTCTGGATACCCATGTTAAGAACCAATTCTATGCCTAGTAATTCACACCTTGTGAAAGTCCTCTCCTGACCATACAGGGGCCTGTCATTGCCTCCACTTAATCTACAATAGCATCTTCAAATGATTATGGTAGGTAAATATTAATTGCCCAGTGCAAAGCTTGATACCTAGATATTACATATTTCTTCCTTTCCTCTACTCATTTTCTTCCTGGTCCTCTTTCCTAAGCATTTTAGAAATAAAAAGGGACACTATATCTACTTAATGAGTATAAATAACACCATGGTTTTATTTCAGGAGAGGTATATAAGAAATCAAACATTGTAACTTCTAAAAAAAAAATCACTGACCTAACATCATCCATATAGTCTATTATTTGTAAAGGAATAACAAGACATTTCAAGAACTATCATTAATTCCCCATTTATGGTGATGGAGAGCAAATAAATAAAACAAAAACATACAGAGTGCAGTTCCTGGAATACTGACAGGAAAAAAAGGCATGTAGGTAGTGGGGATAGACAGAAAATCAGGACATAAAAATCTGATATTTTTTAAATAAGGAATTTGACTTAGCTGATACATATGCTTCCTGTTTCTGAGTAATAGAAAGTTGTCCCAATCTAGAAAAGCAATTCAGGTAATTGTTTCCCTTGGTTTCAGAGATGGGGAACTGGGTTTTACCTGGAGTGATTTTATCCTAGGAATCAGCTTATCAAAATAGTTATTCATTGCTTTAGTGAAGCCCTTGTAAGTTGTTCTCAGCTTCATGTTTGGATCCTGGAGTAACCAACTAGGATTAAAAAGGCAAGACTCCATCTTGGAATGGGAGATAGCAGTAAGACAAGTTTAAGCATATGAGTGGGCATGGACCATCCAGATTTGCACAGTCACATTGGAACAGTACATTATGAAATTTTAGTCCATTTTTAGCAGTCAAATTTGTAACTGGACACAAGCTATATCTCAGTTACAACTAGCTCAGCTCCTTAAGCATCCCTTCTCTCTTCAAAATGCAAATAAGGGCTATATAAAGATGAAATAATGTAGAGCAGGGGTGATCAAACTGAAGTCCAATGGCCAAATCAGATCCACTGTCTGTTTCTGTAAATAAAGTTTTTTTTTTTTAAATAAAGTTTTACTGGAAAACAGCCATACCCATTTGTTTACATATTGCCATGGCTACCTTCCTGCTACAACAGCAAGGTTGAGTCATTGCAACAGAGACTGCCCTCAAAGCTGAAGATATTTATTTTCTGGTCTTTTACCTAATCAGTTTGCCAACTCCTAATCTGGAGGAAGATTTTTGTGAAACTGTTTCAAAGTTATTTTTTAAAAATGCTCTCTAATGGAATATTATTTGACTATAAAAAAGGAAAGAAGAAATGGCACATGCTTCAACATGGATAAACCTTGAAAACAATATGCTAAGGGAAAGGAGCCAGATACAAAAGTCATATTTTATGATTCCATTTATATAAAATAAACAGAATAGGCAAATCCATAGGAACTATCTGAAAGCAAATTAGTGGTTGCCAGGGCCTGGGAGAAGGAGAAATAGAGAATGATGGACATGGGGATTCCATAGATGATGGTTCCTTAACATTTTGGATGTACTAATTATCACAAATGGTCATTTTAAATGGTAAACTTTGTTATGTGTATTTTACTACTGTACAATTAAAAAAAATTGGAAGTAAAAAAAAATTAACCTCTTTAAAAGAAATAACTAACCCAATTTCTTTCTATTTTGCCACCACAAAATTTCAAACTCATGAACACAACTGCTTAAGTAGTAGCCATTCCTTTTCATTTTTAAAAAAAGTACTCTATGAATTTGTACTGCAAACATGGAGGTTTATAAAAAACAAATACTCTCGTTTATAGTTGCTTGTTGATTTTGATTTTTACTTTTTTATAATTAGGTTTTCAAAACAAGGAGGGTGGGAATTGTATGGGGACTATAACCAAGATGAAAATGCATACATTGTGCAAAAATGAAAAATGATGTAAAAATGTATAAAATAAATAAATAAATAAATAAAATTCCAATTAAAAAAACAAATATAAAATCCCCAATATTTTATTTTTTCCCCAACATTTTAAAGCTGATTTTATGTCATTAAATGGAAAAAAAATAGTACAGATTTTTTTTAATTACCTAAAAAACCAAGCAAAACACTTTTCTCTAAGTTGCACTAGAACATGCTTGGGACCCACACAGAGTCATGGCCAGGGGTCCACAGAGCATAACTTACCTAGGCAGGCCTCCGAGGTCTAAGTCGCTACCGATGTAGGGGCCCGGACACAGAATGACCCACAGCCCCACCTGTGAAGCCATCGTTATAAAAACCCTGGAAGCAAAGCAATGAAGATAATTTTACACCAAACGCTGGGACTTGGAATCAATGCTGCGCTTCTTTCTGAGGTCTCTTCTGAGATTAGAAGGTGAAACTTCCAGTCTGGCCCACAAAAGTCCTTGCAGTCCATGATCCAGGACAGGTAGCCCTACACTCAGTAAGAAATGGACTCAGTCAAGGCACATTCTCACTTCTCATTGATGTGAGAGTCTATAAATCCTAAACCACACCCCAACATTTCCTCCTAAGATTACTTCCCCCCCCCCGACCCCTCTCCTATATCATAAGTGGCCTCACCATGGAGGAAAGATGTCTAAGGCAAAAATGTCCAAATCATCCCTGCTCCTCCTCCTTCCTCACCTCCTACTTTTTCAACCTAGCACCAAATCATGCTTATTCCTCCTACTTAGTGTTTTAAATGTAAAACTCCTTTGAGCTCCTACTGCTACCATATTGGTTAAGAACTCATCATTCCACACGTGAGTTTTTGGTTGCTTTCCTTCCTTCTTACCCTCTTCCAATGTTTCTCCCATTGCTGTCAATAACAACATCATCACCAACAACCAAAAGGGAAGTCAGTTTTTATACTGTATCAACATTAGGCACTACAGTTCAATTTTCTATTATTTTATTTGATAGTTCTATGAGCTAGGTATCAATAATATCTCCATTTTACAGATATGAAAATAAAAGCTTAAAGGAGTTAGAGCATCCTCAAAATCACATTTTTAGTAGAAGTAATTAGGGAAAGAGACTCCCTAATATTTGGGAAAGAGCAATGAAATCTTAACTACTATGTTAATCTGTCTCTTAAAACTACTGCCACCATGTTTTTTCCTCTTGCAAATAAAAAATTTTCAAAAAACAAATAAAAAATTTCCAAATAAAAAAATTTCAAAAAACCCCCCAATGCCATAAGGATGGATTCCAAATTCTGTAAGATGGTTTATAAGTCCAGGATGTGGTCACTTCCTAGCTCTCCAGATTTATTTCTGACAATTTTTCCACCTAGAATAAGAAGAGCTGGACAACATGATCTATGGTACCCAGAAAATATAATGACTGGTGGAAAGGTAATCACTAAATCTATTCTCTTTTCTTCCTGGACACATAGCTTATCTGCATTTCCCAGACTCTCATGGGTAAAGACGTGGCTGTGTGATTGACTTCAAGTCAACAGAATGTGAACAGAAAGAGGTAGTGTGTTTCAGTTCCCAAATAAACCTTCCCTATACTTTCCCTACCTCTGACTGACTTGATGCAGGCAAGAATGTTGGTTTGCAAGTGCGATGATAAAGATGATTTTGCCACAAAATAGGAAGGCTGAGAATCCTCCCAGTAGTTCTTGTAAGAGAAACATATGATCACCAGGAATAGTTACCTTAGATTTTACTAAATGAAAATAAACCTTTATTGCTAAAAGATATTGAGGCTTACTTGTTACAGCAGCTATCACAGCCTGAATTGATTTAAAATATCTGACTTTGCTTTGCTGAATCCCCTGTGTGAAATATCATTCAGGCCCCTCTAACACCTGTTCAACCTTCAAATTTACTTCACTCTTGCCTTCCATCATCTGTTCCCCTTGTTTTGGTTGTATGCCCTTAGTATGTTATTACTCACATCCACAGAGAATCCTTACTTTTGGCAGATATCTCCACCACCAGAGACAGTCTGAACTACAGCAGGTGGCTCATACAAATGTTTGAAGAAATAGTGACTCTATTTGCATCCTGTCTTGAATCCCTGTAAACAATAGCTTAGAAATCTCTTCATATAACTGAGGTAGCAGGTTCCTGTTAGATTAACCCATGTTAGAGTAAAACCATAGCTCTCAGGACATACTTTTTCTAAGCCACACCATGAATAAAATGCACCTCAGACATTAAGGTCCAGGCTCCACTGCAAATAACAGAATCACAGTTCAAAGGACTTCAGCCCAGGCAACAAAATCATCAGAGTCTCCTGATGGTTCTCAAGGTACAAAGTAAGGTGCCCCCTGTTGCTTCATAGGATCTCACCAAGTCACACCCCATCTCTGAGCAAAGAAATAGGTAACTTAAGCATTCACACATACTGCAAATCCAAGTTTTGTGTAAAATAATATTGGTTTCTTTTCGGTTCATGAAGATTCCAGGGAATATACCTGCAATAAGGAAAAAGAGAATCATAAAAACCTTTCACTTTATTCACCCATACTGATTCCTCCAGTTTTAATATAGCACCTGGACTATCTCTATATGAAGGAAGTTGAATATTTCAGTAGCCAAATCTGCATGTGTGCACTGTGAATTACCTTCCAATTTTCCTCTCTCAAATGCCCAAAGATCCAAGCTGCCAATATTTTTCCATGAGTCTGGACTTGTTATAACTTAATTTATACATGTATGTAATATACTCTAGTATACAACCAAAAATTTATTTAAGCATATAAAAAAGTAAACCTGTAACAACAAAAATGTAAAAGTTTCATCATAAAATGGAAAACAAGGAGAGCTGAAAAGTTTCCAGGACTAGGTTATATAATATTATTTAAATAAATAAAATGAAATCCAGAAGTCCATGACATAAGATTCATAATACCCAGCATCCACTAGAAGAAAATTGCTGGACGTTCAAAGAAACAGGAAAATAGGACACATTACCAGAAGAAATATCTGTCAGTATACACAAACCCAGAAAGGACACGCAGCATGAAATTACAAATAGATCGTATTTTTAATAAGCCAAGGAAAATGTGACCAAAGGAAGAGAAAAACAAGAGCTACAAAAAAGACTCAAGTGGAAATTCCAGATCATAAAGATATATGAAATTAAAAATACTCTTGCTATTTCTCCATCTTGCAAAATGGTGGGTGCAAAGGCTGAGATTCTTATTATTAAAGAGAAGAAATCTGTAGCCAAAACACCTATGAAGGGGAAACTCCACTGCAGTCGAAACGCCAGTCTGGTGAGGAATTGGCAGATATTCCAGTCTTTTCTATATTCCAGTAAGGCCAAATATCACGGAAGTATTTAACAGTTAAATCCAGAATTGCAAAGAAAGAGAATGTTCTCGAGACTGTCACAAAACCAGTGGGTGGTGAAGAATGACAAGCAGGCATGTGGTGAATCGTCACCAAAGCCTAGATACCATCCCACTGAATAGGTGCCTCAAACACTGTTGATCCACAGCAAAGAATCTTTGTATCAGGATGTGAGAAAACTGAGCTGGTGTCACTGCTGGGACCACCCTGACCATCTGACTGGGAGCCACAGAGGGTGGGGGCCACAGAGGTGGTCTTCCTGAAGTAGCTGAGCACGACTTGCTTCTTGTGACTGGACCTCTGTCCCTTAATCGAGGTCTTCTGTGTAGAACACACCGGAGATTTGTCACTGCCACCTCCACCAAAGTTTACATTAGTGGTATCAGATATCTCCATGATGCTTACTTCAAGAAGCTGCCTATGCCCAGAAATCAGGAAGGTGAGCTCTTCAACACAGAGAAGGAGAAATACAGGATTTTACAGAGCATTCCAGGTTCACAAAGCTGTGACCTCACAAATTCTGCCAAGAAGTAAAGCTATTTCTCAGCTCCAGGGCTACTGTTTGCTCTCACAAATGGAATTTATCCTCACAAATTCGTGTTCTAAATTTCTTGCAGAAAACTTTATTTAATTTCATTTAATTTAAAATAACTGATTCACTTCAAAAAATGCTTCATACTGTTAATAGGAGGAAATGAAAAATATGCTGGCTGAGACTAACAACAGGTTGGATATAGCAGAATAAAAGATCAATGAACTTAAAGACAGAACAAAAGAAACTATAAATAATGGAAAACAGGAGTCCTGCAAGATGGTAGCAAAGTGGAGACACTGAGCTCCCTTCCCCCAGACGATCACAACTAAATTGTGGTGAAATATAGCCCAAAAACAAACCACAAAAACCCTGAGTGAAAAATGGACAATCACAGCACACGCTAGGAGCGATGGCCCAGGAGAAAGGACAGGGAAAAAATTAAAGTCCATTTTGTAGTGATAACAGGATGATGAAATTCACAAGAGGGAAAGGCAGTTGGTAAACCCCAAGACTCCACCATGCACTGGATAAGGAGGTGCGAGGGTTGGCACCCAGGACTCAGGGTGCACTGTTGGAGAGCTGCAGGGCTAGGGTGCAGGTTGACCCTGCTGGAGCCTGAATCTGCAGGGAAAAGCAGATTAGAGCACTCGGGAGTCCTCATAGAAGAGGCTACTATGTGCAGCCGGAGGTGAGTTATTCAAAATGCCTGTTCCCCCACCCCACCTTAGGGCTAACACCAAAACAAATATGCTTGGAGAAACTACAGCTCAAGCATGTTCAATAATAGAAGCAAACACCCCAGGATGAGGCTCTGTGCAGGAGAAGAAAAGAGAACAATTCCCAGCCTATCAACTACATCCCACCCATTACTGCATCTGGTGCTTAAAAACAGCCTGGGGTGGAAGTGGACAGGAGACCACAAGAGACACTTGTGTGCTCAGAGGAGCTGCCCACAGAGAGACACTGTGGACCCAGCACACAATTCTGGTGTCCACAGCAGTCAGAAGGTTAAACACACACTCAGGCCCAGAGGCCTTTCAGAACAGCTTGAGTCTCTTGGGATATCAAGACTCACATCCCAAGAACAGTGAAGCAGTACTAAGAGGGTGAACACTGAGACTGGCCTGATAAAGTCTGAGCTGGGAATTCCTAAAACATTCCGTGGGGCCAGCACTCACATGGTGACAGTGTTGAAGCCACCAGCCTGCAGCTTCAGCAGGCTGTCCCGCCAGTACACTCTGGGCACCCGGAAATAGTGGATGGTTCCTGCTATGATCAAGAAAGGGAAGCCCTCCAGCATGAACAGGGAGCCCTCAGCTCTCAGACCCTCATGGCGTGTCTTTATGAGGGAGGGAGTCAGGGAGGCTTGGCCAAAACTGTGAAGACAAAGAGATAAATGAAGTTCAAGAGAAGTTGAGAAGTTGCCCAGAAGATGCACAGGACAAGCATCAGCAAGGCCTTACCTGAAGGGGCCCATCAGTTCAGAGAAGCTTCCCATCCTTCCCTCTCCACATACCTGCTGAAATGGTCTCCTTGGGGTTGAGTCATTACCAATAACCCTGAAGACAAGTACAGGATGCCCAAAAGTCTGACCAGGAAGGCCTGCATGCTAAACAGACAGGACAGAAGAGCAGTCAGATTGTGCTGCAGGCAGGAAAGGAGGAGTCAGGAGCTGAGCAAGGCCTTGGTCTTTGGGGATGGTGGGGAAATTAAGGTTCCCATGGAAGGCAGAATGCAGCCAAGCTGTCCCTGGAACACCTGCAGCACTGAACTCATAGCAGATAGCAGTCCAAGGCCATGCCTGCTGCAGGGACAATAGCCGTGTGGAGGAGTCTCTTACTAAATAACTGTTTAGACACCAGTTACATGGTAGAGAAGATCAGGCCTCAAAGGTTTACAAACAGAGAATACCCCCTGGGAAATTTGCAGGATGCCCAACTTGCCAAGGAGTGAGCTCTGATCATTCTCTGCCTAGCAGAGTAGCTGGCTGCTGTAGAGGGATTTCCTCTCAATTTTTATCTTCAACCCAATTTTCCACATTTCAGCTACTGTAGGGCTCATCTGCTTGGTGCCCCGGACACACTTACTGTCTGAATGGCCTTGGTTTTCCTCATGCTACACACTCGGGCGAATGCTCTTACCTTCTTGTATAAACAATTCTACCAGTCCAACGTAGGTTGAGGGGCTGGGCAGAACAAAGGCGCCAGTGGGGCCCGGGCAACTGGGCAGGGGGAGTGGGTGCACCAGCCAGGCCAGGACCCCCTGCTCAGAGGCCACCTGAATGCCACACGCATGATTTGCCAGAATCACTAACTAACATTAATGTCGCCTCCATCAGCTTCTGCTTTACCATCCGCTTGACGAGCACTATCTGAGGCGAACTGGGTGGGTAGAAATTAGTGAAATCAGAGACAAAACAGAATGGGCCCAGGGATTCAACAGACAATCGACTAGGGAAGTGTGCACACACACTGTGGGTGCCAGCGACTCCTCAGGGTGCACTTGGAGAGTGCAGGGAAAGAGAGTAAGTTCAGAGGATGCTCAGAGATTTCAGGGAGAAGACAGAAGGGAAGAAGCAGAAGCAGAACAGCAATGAGGGGGACCTGAACGAAGAGGTCAGAGAAAATAACTTGAGCTGACTTCACTGAAAACCAGAGGGGCTTTCTACGCGTGGACAGTCAAGGGGAGACGGGCATGGAAGGTGCTAAGAGGTGTCAGGTGTCCTGCTTCCAAGGGGCGACCTGGTCAGCACCCATCTTACCCAGCGCAGGGCTGCCCAGCAGCAGAAGTCATCACCGGCTTCTGCAGCAGCCTCTCCAGGGGACACCGGGGAAACCTGCCGGTCCTGCTCCCGCTGGGGCTGACCAGCGCCTGTCCACGGCCCCACCCCGCACAGCCCCGCCTCTCTCTGCTGGACCTGCCTCCTCCCGCCAAAAGTTGCCCCTTATGACAAATAAAAGGAGCTTGAGAGAACTTTGTGTAATAAAGCAAATCACAGTGACAAAGGCAAGTACTGGACATTTACTTGAGGATGATCAGACCGTGAAAAATACCTATAAAAAGTAGCTGACACTAAGATAGAAAGTGAGGCTTCTGAGTTTAAGGAGGAGGAAAGAAAAAAGGTCAAAGAAGTAAAAAATAAAGACTTCTCACAGCTGGATGTACATAACATGACATATCTAGGCATAACATGTGAAGGGGAATACTGATTACCTACATTGGCAAACAGACCTGCTGGAAAGGCCTCCTTGGGGTGGAGTCATTACCAAAAACCCTGAAGACAAGTACATAATTACAAATAATTTTATTTTAAAATAAATTTACCGGGCCTCCCCAGTGGCGCAGCGGTTGAGTGCTGGGCTGCGCAGCTGCCCGCAGCCCCTGCAGCGCCGGTTCGAGCGCAGGTTCGAGTGCCGGTTCGATCCCCAGCTGCCAGCGCCAGGGTCCCACATGGTGCACAGACCTCTCCTGCCGCCCGCTGCTCCCCTCAGCAGTGTACTTCGGTCCTTCTGCCTGCTCTGCTCCCCACTCTGGCTTGGTGAATTCTCTCACCCTCCTGTGCTTCTGACTGTACCCAGTGCTTAAATAAATAAATAAATCTTTAAAAAATTTTAAAAATTTAAAAAAATTTACTGAAAAATTTAAAAATACACTAAAAATTAATCTAAAATATCAGCTGTATTTAAATATTTTTATATTTCTTATTTATAATTTGTAATTTCCTTTTTTAAAAAAAATTATTTATTTATTTAATAGAGGCATGCTTTTATTTATTTATTTGTTTGTTTGTTTTGTTTATACAAGCACTGGGTACAGTCAGAGGTGCAGGAGGGTGAGAGAATTCACCAGAGCCAGAGCGGGGAGCAGAGCAGGCAGAGGGACCGAAGTACACTGCTGAGGGGAGCAGCGGGCGCAGGAGAGGTCTGCGCGCCATGTGGGACCCTCCTCTGGTGGCCGGGAGCAGCCGGGGATCGAACCGGCGCCGCAGAGGCTGCGGGCAGCTTCGCAACCTAGCACTCAACCGCTGCGCCACTGGGGAGGCCCCTGTAATTTCCTTTTAATTCTAATAGATAATTTTTCACATCCCTATTCCCCACTCTAATTTTCTTCACTTTCCATGGTCAATCATTTGAATGTGTTTCTTGTATCTCCTTTGGTTTGCATGTATTCCTACAAAACATGTATTGTTTGCATGGGTATATTGATTATCTACGCAAATGATATTGATGGTAGATCTTATTGCCTTCTTGTCATTTAAGATTAAACATTTTGCTACCTCAGTAATTCTGTATATTACTCCATAGTGCTTATGTTTTCTGGTAATATTTCTATATTTCTATAGCTTCTTTTTTCATTTCAATCTTTGGTTCCTCAAGAATTTCCTTTAATACTAGTTTGCAATATGAAAAAAAAACTTTTTTTAATGCTTAGCAGATCACTCCCAAATGAATTAATGATTTCATCATTAATTGAAATCTTTATCACATACTCAATTACCATACATACCTGTGTCTGCTTCCACATTGTGTTTTATTCCATTGCTTTTTCTAACCAGATCCAATTTGCAATGAGATTTTACACGGTGTGAGGCAGTTTTCTAAATTCTTTATGTGGAATTCATTTATCATCTTCATCATAGGAACTAAGTGCTCTTCTTACCCCTTTTAATAGCATTAGGAAGTGAGGTAGGTAAGTTTAGGTAACTTGACAAAGGTGTCACAGCAATAAGTGATCAAATCTGGTGATGTGGTTTTATAAATTATAGAACATGTATATGGCTCTCTACTATTAACCTCTGTGCTATGCAGTAGGTACTTTTTTTTTTTCCAAAGATTTTCTTATTTTTATACAAGAGCTGGGGTATAGGCCAAAGGCACAGGGGAGTGAGAGGATTCACCAGAGCCAGAGCGGGGAGCAGAACAGGCAGATGACAGAAATACACTGCTGAGGGGAGCAGCGAGTGAGACAGGAGAGGTCTGCCATGCCATGTGGGAATCTCCCTGGCTGGCTGGGAATCGAACCTGTGCTGCAGAGGATGCAGACAGCTTCATAGCGCTGCACTCAACCCACTGTGCCACAGGGGAGGTCCTGCAATAGGTACTTTAATGTTGGGTAACATCTTGCATGGGAAATTACTTCAATGCAGTGTTGGTTTCTAAGTATAATCACCCAGTTATTCCAAAGGTCTTGGAACAGAAAGGCTCACAGACAAAATTAAGATACAAAAGGCTTACTAAAATTTAAAACACAAAGCAAGAAGCACTTTGATATCAAGGTTATAAAATGACAAGTTACAGAAAAAAATAAATGACTTTCCACAATAGCAGTTCATTCAAGAAAAGTAGTCTATTTCTTAAATGTTAATTAATACTGATCTCTAAAATCTGGCAGTCTTTCTGGACAACAAATTTATTTTCTTTCTTGCTATTCAGCTTTTTCCTTATTTTTGGATCAGATTTAGATATGTTTTGTTGAATTTTTTCATTTTATTTAATTTTTATTTGTGATTTCTCTTTAATTTTAATATGTTGTGTTTCAACCTAAAATAAAAATTTGTATCTTTACAGTTTCTTTGTAATGATTTTCTGCTTTTAAAATGATCATTTCTTTCTCTTTCTGTGCATTTATAGTGTTTTCCTTTTAGCTAACGTCTTAATTGGAACATTTACCTATTTGCAATCTTTCTTATTTTCTAATATATGCAGTGAAAGCTTTACTTTTCTTTTCTAACTGCCTTTTTAGCTAATCAACATGGTGATATGTGATATTACGATTCACTTATAAATCTTTTTCAAAATCTATTATGATTTTTCCTTAGAACATGAGTTATTGATAAGTATATGTGCATATGCCTTTGTGTGTGTTTTATCAACATGGTCAATGCTATTGCATTATGGTCAGAGAAACAAGAAAGGTAGCTTATATGATGCTAACTTTGGAAATTTGTTAAATCTTCTCCCAAAGCCTATTACTATTAAGTGATCGATTTTTGTGAATTTTTTAAAGTAATTAGTTACATTCTCTATTTAATGGGTGATGGGTTCTATATATGCCCACCCAATCTTGCTTGTGTGATTGTGTTCTCCAGATCTTCAATACCCGCTACTTGATTTTATTGTGCTGGATCTATCAGTTTAGAGGGGAAATAAAGTGAAATCTCTCACCATTATTGTGATTATGTTCATTTCTACTTAATGGTTCTTGCTTTATATATTTGGCTCTCTGTTGCTTTCCTCCTGAATTATTTTTTATCGTTTCATGGCAACTCTTCCTATCCCTGCTAATGCATTTAAAATAGACTTTATGTTATGAAATAAATATAGATTAAAATGCAGTTATGAAAAATTATACAGAGAGATCCTCTATCCTTTATCCACTTTCCCCAATGGTAACCTCTTAAAAATTACAGCAAACATTGCAACCAGGATGTTGACCCTGATGCATTCAAGATACAGAGAATCACAAGTGTCCCTCAGTTGCACTTTTATAGCTACACTCTTCCCTTTCCTGCCTAACTCTCTCTAACCTCTGGCAACTGCTAAGCTATACTTCACTGCTATAACTTTGTCATTCCTAGGGGCCTGCCTGGAGGCACAGGGGTTAAAGACAGCACTACCAACCTACTGCCAGCCACTACAGCATGAATTCCATCCCTGGCTGGTCACAGAGCTACCCACATGTTGCAGCAGACCTCTCCTGTCTCACCCACTGCTCCCCTCAGCTGTGTATTTCAGGTAATCCGCCCGTTCTGTTCCCCCACTTTCTCTGGTGAAT